TTTTTTCCTCTTACCAGCTTTCTTCTCCTCCTCCCCCTCCCTCTCCCCCTCCCCCTACTTTCTCTTTTTACTTCTTTTCTTTCCATCCTATTTTTCTTGTAGATGTTTCAAGATTTAAAATTTCCAGCCCACTCTCAGGATTCTCTTCCTTGTTAAATTTTTTAAAAAAACAAAACCAAAAAATGCAACCCTGACTTCTCAAAAAGTGACTCCACCCAGACTGTCTTGGAGCTTCATGAGGTAAGAAACAGTAAGGTAAGAAATTAGTCTAGGAAAACATGTGAGGGAAACAAAGAAAGCAGTCAAGTGCAAAGGGAAAGCCCAGATTGCTCTTTTCTAGAAAATACTAGGCCAGGAGCTTTTTTCCAGGACTAGAAATTTGCCGTGCTTACTAACTAGCTCTCTCTCTCTCTGATTTTGCAAGCAAATGGGGAAAGTCCTTATAAAACCATCACTACCACTAGAACAGTATGGGGGAACCACCCCCATTATTCACTTATCTCCCACCGGTTCCTTCCACAACCCTTGAGAATTATGGGAATTACAATTCAAGATGAGATTTGATTAGGGACATAGCCAAGCCATATCAATGCATAATACTTCTACATATTTATGGGGTACATGCAACATTTTGTTACATGCATACTTCAAATACCTCTACAGAGGTAGCCACTGTCTCCATCTGACAGTTTTCATGCAACAGTAAAGGCCCAGAGCTGGATACACAGAAAAAAACAGAAAAAAGGATTTTGCTATTTTTTGTTTTATTATAAAACTTACTATTTCTCATTTTGGTTGTTTTTGTTGCTCCATAGATTTGAGGAATATTGGCCATGGCCATGTTCAGGATTTTTTTCTGGCATCAATTTCTGAAAATGACAAATTATCAAGTGCAGGGGTGAGCACAGTGATGCTGTTTTTTGTACATCCTACTAGCTGAGAATGGTTTTTATATTTTTCAAAGGTTGCAAAAATGAGGAACATGTAACAAAGACTGTAGGTGGCCCATAAAGCTAAAATAGTATCTGGTCCTTTAGACAAAACATTTGCCAACCCTTCATCTAGTGCATAAAAGTGACATTTCTTTACTCTCTAAATAATTAGAGCAAAATAACACAGTTTAGGGAATCTATGACTCATTAAATCAAATTTACAGGACTTAAAGGGCTAAGACTTTAGTATTTTTCTCAACAGCAAAATCATGTCTTCAAGTTCTTAAGTGAAAATCTCATCTATTTAATATTACTCTGCTTGCTTCTCATTTGGCGATGGGATGGAGGGATTGGAGAAGGGAGAGGGATATGTGGAAATGGGTTATAAAAGATGAAAATAAGGCAAACACATTGCTGATTCTGTATCTAAGGCCCTCAGTTTTCTGATTCTTGGCTGGACACAAGTGAACTAGTCATGGCATAAAAGAGAAATAAAATCCAAAGTCTGCCAAAGTTCCTGGTTGTTTAGTGATGTCATAGAGAGGTTACCTGCATATTCCAGGCAGGATACTGTAGTAAATAGGAGACAGCTGCAGTGTGATCCAACTAAACCAACAGGGGATTTTCGTCAGCGCTTTCCTGATGTAAATCATGGTGCAGATTATTAAAGACATGGCAAGTATTTGTTTGGCTTCACTGAATATTTCAAATGTGGGCATCTTGAGAATAGATTTGAAAAACTTTAAGAATGTGTTCTCTCTACCCAGTATTCCTTCATTGTGTTGTAGCAAGGGGAGAATTTTAAATTCTTGCTCTTCATCTTGTTTCTCGAGGGACGGTACTATCTAGAAAATCAGCCAAAGGGCAAATTGGTCAAGAAGGGTTTTCTTCCTCCTGGACTCTTATTTCCTGCTCTGACTTCAGGTGAATCCAGGCCAGCTCCTAGCGTATCACATCCTGTGTCTGATCCCATGGATTCTACCTTAGTTGTGTCTGGAAAATTCCATGGAAGTAAGGGAGCCCACATCTTTTCTCTTACCCTGGAAAAGAGAATAGAAACTCCAGATGTGGAATGGGGTGGGAAAATTGTGACTAGTAGTATCAATAATCCCTTAGGTGGGTACTTTATAGAGCCACCTTCTACCCATTGCCCAATGTTACTGTCACAACAAATCTAAATTCATGTGGAGGACAGAGATAATCTTTGATTTATGAAGGAGAAAATTGCCTCTAAAAAAGAAGTTCAGGGGTACCTGATTTAAGAGGTGGTGTGGGCCTTAGATCCCAGACCTTCTGATGCCTGCATTCATTACAGGAAGTCAAGAGCCAGAGGAGGGGAGAGGGTTTAGGGCCTGAGCCTCATGTCCACCAGTACCCTCAGATTTAGACTTGTGACATTTTCCCCAAATGTGGTTATGCAGATCACAAAAATGACACTGACCAGATTAAAAGAGAGCACTGCTCTGTAACTTTGGTATAAGAAAATATGTTGAAACATCACACATTTGCTAATGCTTTTGACGCTTATTTTTTAATGTTCTGGGAATGTCACAGAATATTCCAGAGCCTTATTCCCTCAAAGGACATTTCCTCTCCTCTCCAGGAACTTTTCCCCAAGGCCCTGCTCTCCATCCTATCTTTATTCAGATGCCACCTTCTCTTTGAGGTTGAGTCAACTTGGCCATCTGGACTACAGTTGTAATCCAACCCCCATTCTTTCTTCCTACTTCATTTTCTTTTCTTTATTACCAATTATCACTAATATACTATAAATATTACCTATTGACCTTATAGTGAACTTCCCATTCTAAAATGTAAACTCCATGGAGACAGAATGGATAGTTTTTGTTTTGTTCTGTTTTGTTCCTTGTCCACAGTGGTATCCTAGCAGTTTGTGCAGCGCCTGGCATAGGATAAACCTCAATAGGTATATGTTAAATAAATACCTATTCTTGAGAGTATTCCCTTCAGATAATTTAGCCAAGTCAAGTTCATGGATCCAACTAGGCCAGCTCACACCCAAACAACAACTACTGGAAACTGAAGAATGTTGTGGCTTGTGAGGATAGTGTCTGCTTTATAACTTCAGAAGCAAGTGAGAAATAAAGGCTTGGCATGGCTCTTTGGAAAGTTAGTTACTCCATCCTAGGGGAACATTGATAAAGAGAGTGCATCTTCTTTGAGTCATCACTTTCACCTGATTGAAACTAAATAAAGTAGCAACATAATTGTCAAGACTATTATAGAGCAGGTATGTTGTATTAGTCTATTTGCATACTGTTATGAAGAAATGCCCAAGACTTGGTAATTTATAAAGAAAAAGTGGTCTAATGAACTCACAGTTCCACATGGCTGGGAGACCTCACAATCATGGCAGATGGTGAAGGAGGAGCAAAGGCATGTCTTACATGGTGGCAGGCAAGAGAGTATGTTCAGGGGAACTGCCCTTTATAAAACCATCAGATCTTGTGAGACTTATTCACTCTCATGAAAACAGCATGGGAAAAACCCACCCCTATAATTCAATTACCTCCCACCAGGTCTTTCCCACAACATGTGGGGATTATTGGAGCTACAGTTCAATATGAGATTTGGGTGGGGACACAGCCAAACCATATCACATGTCATTTATATGGAATTAAACCCATCCATAGTGAGGATAGGCCTTGCCTGACTTAATCCAATTAACAATCCCATCCCCCTCCTCTTAATGTTTGGTCCAGGAATAAGCACACATGCAATTAGAGCCAGTGAAAGGGAAATTAAGTCCTAATTCTATAATAACTCAGGAGAGGATTTTGTGTTATGGTTAAGGAAATGGGAACTGGAGTCAGGCTGCCTGGGATACCAATCCCAACTATACCACTCACCAGCTAATTGATCATGATAAAGAGTGAACTTCGGTTTTCTCATTTGTGAAAGGGAGATAATATTTGTAATAGTATACACACTGTAGTGTGGTTGTAAAGATTATGGGAGAGAATATAGGGCACAGAGTAAATTAGCTACAATTGTTGCAATTCCAGTAAGAAAAGGAAAAATCTTGAAGAGAGTATATTAGCAAATCATTCCTTCATCAAGAAAGCACTCAGGCTGAGCGAGGTGGCTCACACCTGTAATCCCAGCACTTGGGAGACTGAGGTGGGAGGATGACTTGAGCCCAGGAGGCAGAGGCTGCAGTGAGCTGAGATCGCACCACTACACCCCAGCCTGGATGAAGAGCCAGACCCTGTCTACAAAAAATAAAATTAAATTTAAACAAAAATAAAGAAAACACTCTTGAGCACTTACCATGTGAGTTAGGGATCACGTGAGGTACAGGAATGAATCAAGATTAAGTTCTGTACGGACTTCAGGAGATCAATCATGCATGAAATAATAGTGTAGGACCAGTCACTTTTCATAAAGCAAGCAAATTTAGATGCAGTCATCTGAGTTCCCAGGAAGGGAAACCTTTATTTACTTAGATGATACAAAGAGTTGATGGGAAATTCACTTGACATTCAGCAATAGGAATGTCAAATCCTTAAATGCATGGTTTTAACTGTAGCTGTAATAATGATCACTTCCCCCAAAAAACAAGAAATGACTCAAGAGATGAGATTAGTTCTTCTTTTAAATTTCACTAGTCATGTATGTTCAGGCCCTTGTTTAATAAAAATCCAGTACTATAGATATCTGCCCTGAACAGCAGTTCACCCCTATCCTCCAGCCCCCATCCCTCCCCGGCCAACGTGTTTCTCCTCAGAGGTAACCACCATTATCAACTTCCATTACCAACCTTTTTGGTGCATAGACATCCATCATTTATATGTACTTACAAAGAAATATATTTGACATGAAGGACGTTTAGAAAAGGTGAGGTCAGCTAGAGAACAATGGCATGGAATATCTGGTTAAGGGTTTTAAGAACTAACATGGCTAGAGATGGTGGCTCACACCTGTAATCCCAGCACTTTGGGAGGCTGAGGCAGGAGGATCACTTGAGCCCAGGAGTTTGAGACCAGCCTGGGCAACATAGTGAAACCCTAGTTCTAAAAAAACAAAAACAAAAACGAAACTAAGCTGTCATCTTATTCTCTACAAAATGTCATGAGATTCAGTGATTATGCACATTTCTTCATTTATTTTCTGGTTTCAGAATGAATTTAAAACATTTTTGACAGCTGCTGGACATAAACTCGCAGTGGTTGAATTTTCTTCAACATGGTGTGGTCCCTGCAAAAGAATGTGCCCTATTTTTCATGTAAGTACAACCAGTATCTATCTCACAGTTTTAGAAGAAACTTAAAGTTCCAGGATATTTTCCCCACTAACTCTTAAAAGTTTGGCACTTATGAGCCATTATGGGGCTGTAGTTTTTTGAAGCACTCTGATTAACTTGAAGATAATATGCTCAGATCTAAGTAGATAATGAGTGTACTTACCAGAAGATTAATACTATTTGTCCATGGGTAATTCTGAAAGGAACATTCCCAAGATGTGCAAAAGGGTGCAATTGTACAAATTAATGGATTCTTCATATTATATCAATGACATTTTACCAAAGTTTCAAGAGTTCAGAACTTTCAAACATTGGATTAGAATACAGATAAATATGATATTTGTTTTAAAATATAACATAAAAGAATAAATTTCTCCCAATTCATCAACCTTATTAACAGAACAAACCATATATCTTTATCTTATTTTTCCTACAGCTTTATTGAGGTATATAATTGTTATACAAAATCTGTTCATTTAATGTATACAATTGATGTTAGGACCTATGCATACACCCATGATATCGTTACCATAATCAATATCCATCATCTCCAAATGAAACCTTGTGTACATTTGCTTGCACATGTGTGCATGTGATAAGAACACTTAACATGAAATCTACACTAAATTTTTAAGTGTGCAACACTCTAATGTTAACTGTAAGCACTGTGTTATATATCACAGTGGTCCTCAACCTTTCTGCCACCAGGGACCAGTTTCGTGGAAGACATTTTTTCCACGGACTAGCGGTGAGGGTGGGGGTGCGGGGATGGTTTCAGGATGTAGCTCTTCCACCTTAGATCATCAGGTGTTAGATTCTCATAAGGAATGCAACCTAGATCCCTCACACGTGCAGTTCACAATATGGTTCTGCTCCTATGAGGATCTAATACCACGCTTATCTGGCAGGAGGTAGAGCTTAGGCAGTAATGATTGCTCACTGTCCCTCACCTCCTGCTGTGCAACCCGGTTCCTAACAAGCAATTGAGGATTCCCTGGTATATCACATCTCTAGAAATTATTATCCTGTACAACTGTATATTTATACCCACTAAACAACTCATTTACTCCTTCCCTATTCCCTGACAACCACCATTATATTTTCTGCCTCTGTAAGTTGACTATATTTTATATACTTTATAAAAATGGAATCATGCAGTATTTATTCTATGGTGACTCACTCATTTCACTTAGCAAGATGTCCTCCAGGTCCATACATGTTGCAATTAGGCAAATAATTTGCCTTGCACATTCCTTTCTTATCCTTGATTTACTTTGTAAAATATCCTGTAAAATATTCTACTGAGTTCTAATCATATATTTATATACAGATCTTTTTTCCACATACACATTGATTCATGTTTTTATGTCTCCAAATGAACCTTTTAATATCTGTACAATATTTTACCTGGTTAATGTCTGTAATAGCCTACCTAACAGTTTTTTACCATTTTTTAAATTTATTTTTGGTTTAACATACTTCAGAAAGAATCTCAGGGCACTTTCCTTCATTTCTACTTATTGTATAAAACTTTACATGTTTTTATGGTCAATTTTGTGAAGTTTATTCCTTCAAATATAAAGAATACTCTACACAACTAAAAATACTCTGGTTTATTTTCAGCAAGTTTCTAACATTTCAACTTTTTAAAATCCACCTGAGCCTCAGTCACAGGCTGTTAATTTTAACAACAATCACAATCTGATATTTAATTAAAAATGAACTTATATTCCGGCAGAGAAACTGGCTACATAACATCACAACATTCCTTCTCTGCCTAAAATTCTTAGAATATCCAGAGGGAAGGCCAGACCTGGTGGCTGGTGCCTGTAATCCCAGCACTTTGGAAGGACGAAGGTGGAAGATTGCTTGGGGCCAGGATTCCAGACCACCCTGGCCAACATAGTGAAACCCTCTCTGTATTTAAAATAAAAAATAAAGAATATCCTGAGGGAACATTTTAGTATTTGAGAGGTCCTACCATGCTGACACTCAAGACTTAAGAAAAGAGGATCTTCTTGACTTTGCCAGAGAATAGCTAGTGTTCAGTTTCAGGAATATAAACGTGCTGTATACTCACAGGCCACAAAGTCAGAGCTGATCCAATTCCAATAACAAATAAGAGGCATTGCCACAAAATATAATGAAATCTACGTCTTGGTAACCTCTCCCTCTCTCATATCTTCAGGCCCTAAGGGCTGTTAACAGCTTGACTTTTGCTATATCCAGGCTCTGCAGCCCCTCCTATGCCCATTCTTACCTTAATAGATATAGTTAGTCCCTTTGTAAAAACAAAACAAAACAAAATTCAAGTTATCCTAATTTGATTATGCCATCTGTTTCTTGTAGGAATCCAGGCTAATGCTAATATAGTTTTTAAATTTTGGTTCATCCACTCTGTGAAATATTTCAGATGTTTAAAAGGATTAAGTAGAGGCCGGGCACGGTGGCTCACACCTGTATTCCCAGCACTTTGGGAGGCCAAGGCGGGGGGATCATGAGGTCAGGAGATTGAGACCATCCTGGTTAACACAGTGAAACCCTGTTTCTACTAAAAATACAAAAAAATAGCTGGATGTAGTGGCACGCACCTGTAGTCTCAGCTACTCAGGAGGCTGAGGCATTGAGAATCGCTTGAACCTGGGAGGCAATGGTTGCAATTAGCTGAGATCGCACCACTGCATTCCAACCTGGGTGACAGAGCAAGACTCGGTCTCAAAAAAGAAATAAAAAAGGATTAAGTAGATCCATGTAAATATGGAATTATCTCCAGGACAACATATTTTTTTAATTTTTCTTAGGAAAAGCATATTATTAAGTAAAAAGAGCACAGTATAAAACATGTATAGAGTATGGCCCCAATTATGTGAAACAAACACATATATGTACATATAAGTACATATGTGAGTACATAAACATATGTACATACACATACACATATATAATTTGTATATGCAAACAAATGGGGAGCAGAAAGATGCATATCAAACAAGTTTTTTTCTGTGAAAAAGAGAATTGTGAAAAGGTTATGAATGGGAGAATTTCATATTTTGCTTTTTCTTGTAAAGTTTGAACTTTCGTAAGAGAAGGTATTCCTGTATCATGTGCATACTTTTTTTAAAACTCATAGTATATGAGGGGGTTGGAGAAAGGCTTTACTTCCTCTAAATCAGGGGTCCCAAACACCTGGGCCATGGACCAGTACCAGTCCATGGGTCCATGGCCTGTTCAGAACTGGCCACACAGCAGGAGGTAAGGAGCCAGTGAGTAAGCGTTACCTCCTGAGCTCTGCCTCCTGTCAGATTAGCGGCAGCATTAGATTCTCATAGGAGTGCAAACCCTATCGTGAACTGCACCCGTGAGGGATCTAGGTTGCACACTCCTTATAAGCATCAAATACCTGATGATCTGAGGTGAAACAGTTTCATCCTGAAACCATTCCCCTGCCCCCAGTGTATGGAAAAATTGTCTTACAAAACTGGTCCTTGGTGCCAGAAAGGTTAGATGACTATATCAGTCAGAGATCAAAGCAAGAAACAAAAACCATATTAGAGCCAAATTAGAAAAGGATTTTAATACAAGGAATTAAACGCTCATAAAATCATCAGAAGCCCGGGTGAATGGGCTCGGGACAGAAACTCCATGAACCACTCTTTAGAACACAACAGACCCACTTGTGGAGATTCTAACTTTGCCATAACCAGAAGTCACGGGAAACAGGAGGCCACGATTGGGAGTTTAAAAACCACCAACAGAGCAGCATTCAGAGAGTCAGAACCAGGATTAGGCAGCTGCTATAGCCACAATGGCCTCTGGACATTTAAGAAGCTGATTTCTAGACCCCGAATCTGGCTGCCACCACTGCTTGCCTCTAGCACAACTAGTGCCCACAACCTTGCTTTCCACCAAAAAATAAAAAGAAAGTAGCTTCTGTCTCATTCTGCCTTTCAAGTCTCACTAGCATGCATCTGGCTGGTAAAGCGAAATTTGCATCCAGAACTCTAGCTGCAAGGGAGGCAAACAAATCTTCACCACTTTTGCTTTCCAGGCTCTCCAGGATGATGAAATGGAAGTTAGTAAGCAAAACCATTATTCAAGAGAGGGAAAGAATTCGAGACATTTTCAGACACACAAAAACCAAAAGTTTACTACCCACAGAATCCCTCTGAAGAAACTGCTAGTGGATGTATTGCAACAAGAAAAAAAAAATCAATAAATCATAAGAAAATGTGGGTTTTAAGAAGCGATTTTAATAATGCAAGAGCAGGGGTCAACAAACTTTTCCTGTAAAGGACAAGACAGAAAATATTTTCAGCTTTGTAGACCACATGATCTCTGTCACAACTACTCAATTTTGCTGCTATAGTGCAAAATCCAATGACAACACAAAAACAGATGGGCAGCTAGTTCCAATAAAACTTTATTTAAAAAAACAAGTGGAAGGCTGGATTTGGTCCACAGGGCATGGTTTGCTGAGCCTGGGCTAAGACGATCACAAGGCATAGACTCCTGAAAAGAACATTTCTGGAAAAGGAGAGGTTATAATTTTGTTGAGAAATTGTATGGTGTGATCAGGGGAAGGCAATATGTCACGTGTGAGGCTAATACATAGTGTGCATTAGAAGTGGCAAAAAATGAGCCTCAAAAAGGAAGCTAAGGCCAGATCGAGCAGGATCTTGTGTTATAATTTAACAAATTGCTGTGGAGAGTCAAATAGGACAATTTTAAGAAGGATTTTGCCACAATCAAATGTGGTGCTTAGAAAATACTTTTGGATAGCAGACGGTACGTTCATCTTAGATAAACAAAAGAAAAGAAAATATTTTTGGAGGTTGCACAAGAATAGGTTGGAAAGACTGAAAGCAAGAAACCCAGGGTAAATAACAGCAATGACAGGTTTTTCCAAAACTAGAGCAGTGACTTCTAGAGAAAAAGAAAAGATCAAATTCAGGAAACATTTTCGAGTTAGATCAACAGAAATAAGCCACCAGAAATTTATGAGATATGATTTTAGGCAAACAAATCAAGATGACGTCAAGTGTCCATAAGGTATGAACACAGCTGTGTGAAAAGACACCCAGGAGCTGACATTTACAGGCCACTGTTGTTGTTGCTGCTGCTGCTGCTGTGGCTGCTGCCACATCCACTTACCCTAGACCCATACCACCACCATGGTCATCACCACTACCAAAGATGATTCCAGAACAAAACAGAAGTAGAAGAGAATTACTTCTTCCCTCCTCCCAACTTCCATTTCCTGCAAATACTTCCCATTGGAAGAACCTAACTGAAAGTCAGCTAGCAATGGAACTTGGAAAACCTACTTTCCACACATATTAGAGCACAGAAAGATGGCAGCAGGAATGCAAAGAAATTAGACTAATGACCAGCATTAAAATGTTGACATCACTTCAAGCAGAAGAGCCTTCTACCACCAGCAGCACCAGCACCTCCCAAAATGCTAGGCAAGAGGAGCTAGCGTATGGTTCAGAGAACTGTATCTCAAAGATCACTGAAGACAGATTCCCCCAACTGCTCTCCCAGGAGAAAGCTACTCTGTTATCCGTTCCTCCACCCCACAAGGTAAGTCTGGACCCACCACCCACATTCCATTATTTCTTTGCCAACCTTGAAACTCTAATCTTCAGTTTGGTTCTTTATGACTCTGCTTCTGTCACTGGTCCTTGCATCATCTAACCTTGGCATCATCTAGCATTTGACTTGATGCTTCAAGCTCTAGGCTGTAGTGAAATAGCAGAATGATGCTTAGTCCTCTTTAACAAACTTTTTGTTCATTTTTTTGTTTCTACTGAAAAGATGCTTCTAGTGTATATTTTAATATTAACACCAAACTAATGGGAAATATTTGTTTTTTATTTTGAAGGCAATGTCTGTGAAATACCAGAATGTATTTTTTGCTAATGTGGATGTGAACAATTCTCCGGTAAGAATCTTAAATCTTCCTTGCACATACTCAAAATCCAAATGCACTGTAATTAAATAGCACTGTCTCAGTAATTAATAACATATGATCAATTTAAAATCAAGTAGAATTTCTCTTTTTTAATACAAACTATAGTAAACTGCCTCATTATGCTCTTGTGTATTTTGTATTACTTTTTTTTAAAAAGGTTAGCTCTCCCGATACCCCTCTCCCCTCTTATGCTGCAGCAGGCCTCACTAATCAATCCCAGCATTCTTCACCACTTGCTCTGGGCCCTGCCCCAGAATCCTCCTCAGCAGAGTTGCTCTAGGGAGACCATAGCAATCTGTTAAAGTTGGGCTCTAGGAAAAAGACAGTTTTTACCCCTGTGACAGATTGTTAATCAATTTCTAGAACCTAACTCAGTGCATTACAGACATCTTAGTATATTTTGCTTTCCTCTTGCTATATCTTATGCTTTTTGTGGGTTTGAAGCATCACAAGAAATTCCCAGAAATCCCTTCTTCCTGTCTCTGAAGCCATCCTTCCTCATCCCATCCCCTCAAAAAATAACCCCGTCCTCAAACAAAATGTGTCTTGTTAATACACACAATGTCTCTAAAAAATTATTATTTTTAATATTTATTAATTTGTAATGATGAAAGGTAAAAACAGGTGGACTGTCCACATGTTAGAATGCATTTGAGCTTGAGAATGAAAAAAATGACCTCTACCATTCTGACCTTAAATGATTTTGTGACCTATTATAGTTCAACCTCCGTAAATTTCAGTTTCTTAACAGGATAATAACACTTAACAGAAGATAGAATGAGATAAAATACATTAAATATATGACATGGTGCCTAGAGCATAATAGAAATTCCCTTTCTCCATTTCCTTCAAGCTTCATTAAAGTGTGAGTGTTTAGTTGCCCTTTAGGATGAATCATAACCTACAAATTCAGAATACACAGCTAGGATGACTATCTCTTTATCTTTTCTATATTCACAGAGTTGCACAATCATCACTACAATCAATTTTAGAACACTTTCATCACTCCAAGAAGAAACAGAATACGCTTTAGTAGTTACACCCAATTCCCGTCATCCTCCACCCCCAACCCTAGGCAAGCACAAATCCACAGTCTATCTATAGATTTGCTTATTGTGAACATTTTGTATAAAGGGAATCACAGAATATGTGGTCTTTAGTCACTGGCTGCTTTCACTGCATACATTTTCAAGGTTCATTCATGTTATAGAATCTATCAGTACTGTGGCCAGGCACAGTGGCTCACACCTGTAGTCTCAGAAATTTTGGAGCCCCAGACGGGTGAATTGCTTGTGGCCAGGAGTTTGAGACCAGCCTGGCCAACATGGCGAACCCCCATCTCTACTACAAATACAAAATTTGCCAGGCATGGTGACACACAGCTCTAATCCCAGCCACTCAGGAGACTGAGGCAGGAGAATTGCTTGAACCCTGGAGATGGAGGTTGCAGTGAGCCGAGATCACACCATTACACCAGGCACCCAGGCTGGTGCCTGGGCGACAAGAGTGAAACTCCATCCCCCCAAAAATAATGGTATAAACATTAGTGTACAAATTTTTGTGTAAATAAGATTTCCATTTCCCTTGGGTATATATTCAGGATTGGAACTTTGGGGCAATATGGTAACTCTGGGTTTAACTTTTTGAGAAACTGACAAAACTGTTTTCTAAAGCAGCTGCATCATTTTGCATTCTCACCAGCAATGTATGAGAGCTCTGATTTCTCCACATCTTGCCAACCTATGCTATTGTCTAGCTTTTTTATTATAGCTCATTGTCTTTTAAGGTAGAAAAAATGCATAATTGTCTAATGGTAATTTATATATCAGTTGTTGTCCTTATGTGGTCATGAAAAACTATAATACGGTACGTGTTCAGGTGTGCGTGTGCGCGTGTGTGTGTGTGTGTGTGTGTGTGTGTGTGTGTGTGCTTTCAGTGGCAGGGCAAGAGATTTAATGCCAGTAAAGTGATTGGTACATTAGAGAGAGATGTCCAATTCTGTCGATCCCGTGGGTGACTAATTTTCTTTTGACTCCTAGAGAAACAAAAACTAACATTTGAAAGTAGTTTGGAATAGATTAAAACAATTGGAATATTGGTATATTTTCTCATCTTTTGGCTCCAAATCTTTCACAAAGATGGGCAGTGAAGGACCTCAAAGAAAAACAGTTATAAGCTTTACTTAAAATGCTAGATGAGGATGCATCCCATGTCTCAAGTAGAGTTATAAAGATTTGTTTGCTCTTTTCTTTTGCAATAAGCCATTTTTATATTGAGTTCCACTGGGGCCCCTCTTTCACAGGGTCCTTTAATGCAGCTCATTTTGCTATTAATCATCTATTCTGTTGTGTCCTCCATCTCTTACCCACCTCCCTGTTCTATGGGATGAAAAAGCCAAGGAATGGTGTAACAATCATTTTCTATCAATCATTTCATGTCAATCATTGTGACATTCCTAGAGGCTTTAAGGATATGTTAGAAAAGTTCATAGCAGGAGAGTCTGTAAAGCGTCAGGTCTCCTTGTACTTTCAGACACACCTCCGGAGAAGTTACCAAAGAACGTACTTGGTGCAGAGAGAGGACACCGATGCTGTAACTTCATGCCCTTTCTTTGCTTTCCCAGGAGCTGGCTGAAACTTGTCACATCAGAAGAATACCCACATTTCAGATGTTCAAGAAAAGCCAGAAGGTAAGTTTCCATGGTAACCAGCACAGTTGAATTAGATTGTAGAACCATGAAAGCCCCTCAAAAAAGCCTGTCTATTCCGGGTGGATGAAATAACTACATTTATTTTTAATGCTTAGCAACATAATTATTAGTTTCTGAACTTTACATAATCTTTATAAAGAGTTAAAAAAAAGTATGACTTATTAATAAATCTCTCCATTCAGACCACCTGAGGTATCCAAGTCCATAAGAATTTTCACACTATTATCTCTATACTGGGGCAAAACCACCAAGAAAGAATCTCCCAGAGAAAGACATTCTGAAATTCTCAAAAAATGTATACAAGTTGTTAACAACACTTGAGGAAATGCTAGGCAAAAACTATCACAAAGCAATATTGCCCAGTGGTTGAGCATGCAGGCTTGAAATTCAGATTCCCATGGTTCACATACTGCTCCTAGCACTTCCTAGCTGTAGGGACTTGAGTAGTGTACTTAATCTGTTTATATCTTAGTTTCCCTGTCTATAAAAACATGGATCATAATAAATTTCCCCTTCATAGGGTCAGTGTGATAATTAAATGAGCTAACATGACTCAGGTGTTTAGACCCATCCTGGCATTAAGTGCTTACTGTGTTACATTAGTTATCTTAAAAATATTAATGGATTTTTTTCTTTTTCTTTCTTCTTTTTTTTTTTTTTTTTTTTTTGTTTTTTTGTTTTGAGACAGAGTTTTGCAAGGTCACCCAGGCTGGAATGCACTGGCGTGATCTTGTGATCTCGGCTCACTGCAACCTCCGCCTCCCATGTTCAAGCTATTTTCCTACTTCAGCCTCCCAAGTAGCTGGGATTACAGGCCAGTACAACCACACCCAGCTAATTTTTATATTTTTAGTAGAGATGGGTTTTCACCATGTTGGCCAGGCTAGTCTCAAACTCCTAGCTCAAATTATCCACCCACCCTGGCTTCCCAAAGTGCTGGAATTACAGGTGTATGCCACCACACCTGGTGGAAACTAATACTTTCTTATATGGCTGGAGGGCATTGGCAATCTTCCATATTATGTAAGGTGATTTTGGAAACATATGTAGGAGACATAAAATGTTTATTCCCTTTTACACAATTACCCTATTCCTGGGAACTTTTACTACAGAAATAACCTCAAGAAAAATAAACAGCTAAGTATATAATAATAATTGTAGCACTATTTCTAATTTTAAAAAATGAAAGCAATCTCAATGTCTTTAAGTAAAAAGACTAAGTGAATTTTGACATATCTACTCCATGAAATTGGATGCAAGTAAAAAAATGTCATAAATAATATATTTCCACTGTTGGTGGAAGTATAAATTAGTTCAACCTTTGTGGAAGACATCGTGGTGATTCCTCAAGGATCTAGAAATAGAAATCCCATTTGACCCAGCAATCCCATTACTGGATATATACCCAAAGAATTAGAAATCATTCTACTATAAAGACACATGCCCACATATGTTTATCAAGGCACTGTTCACAATAACAAAGACTTGGAACTAACCCAAATGGCCATCAATGATAGACTGGATAAAGAAAATGTGGCACATATACACCATGGAATACTATGCAGCCATAAAAAAGGATGAATTCATGTCCTTTGCAGGTACATGGATGAAGTTAGAAAACATCATTCTCAGCAAACTAACACAAGAACAGAAAACTAAACACCACATGTTCTCACTCATAAGTGGGAGTTGAACAATGAGAATACTTAAGCTTTGTAAAGATTACGACTGCAGTATAAAGAATAAAAGCATTTGATATGTTAGCTGCAGAATTTTATTTTCAATTTCTATTTATAATTATTTGCTGTAATATAGCTGATATAATAAGATATTTAAATTATTTTTAAAGAACACTACATATTCCCTCATTTGGATTTTTACTTGAACACTAAACTTATTTAACATATGCACTCTCAATTTGCCTCAGTTAGATGTCAAATTGTCTACATAACATCTTTTATTATCTTCTCCTTCACTGCCATCTGAGAAATGAGAATGCTTCCTCCTTTCAAAATCCATTTCATCCATGCACCTTGATTGTATTCCCTCCTTGCTGCTTCAGGCCTCTCTCCATCAATTACTCTCTTTAAAACTTGGAGTTTAGACACTTCTTTTTGACACCCAGCATCCATTTTCCATTCTCTATCAATAGTACTCTAATTTTCCTCCAAGGAACCATGCCCTTTCCCATTCTTATCCCATGTGCTTCCTGAGGAATCCATCTCCAGGCCTACACCAACCAGTGAACTCCATCCCCATCAGAAATGGACACTTGACTCTAGTCAAGCCAATCCAAGCCAAACAAGAGCTAATTTCAAGACTTTGCTTAATCAACTAGGTAAATAACCTTCTCTTTTTGTATCACTGGATTTGAATTTGGGAAGACATGAGTCTGAAACTACTATAGCTTGTCACCATATGAAACCTGAAAATGAATCTACCATATAGAATAAAACTGAGCCAAGCCAAGAGATACTAATGGCATTGACTGTACCCTGATACTTCCATGCCTGAAGCCTACATTATCCCCATAGCTTCTTCAGTTATGTAAACTTAGGGTTGGTTTCTCTGTCACTTGCAACCGAAAAAATTCTAATGAATACAGCTAGTGTTCTCCCAGGCTACTCTCCTCCATTTCATGGTGTAATTGTTAAAAGACTAGAATACACTTACAGTTTCCAATTCTCATTTTCCACTCATTCCCTCATCTATCTATCTATCCTCCTTGAAGTCACCAAGGATCTCCCTGCACCTAATTTAAATAGCCATTTCTGAATTCTGGTATTCCTTGGTTACAAAGAAGCACCATTAACTAATGAGATTCTATATTCTAGAAACTTTCTTCTCTTTTTGCTTTATCTCTGATCCCTCCTCCCTATGTTCTTCTCTGGCTTCTTTGTCTCCAAATATATTCAAATATATCCTTTCTGGATATCTACGTTTTTGGTTCAATCCACTTCCCATTTAACGCCTCTCATTTAGCAATGTCATTCCTTCTTCTAGTTCCAGCTAAATACTTTTTTACTTAGACAATTGCAATGCCCCTCTCTACCCTCAACTTAGCACCATAGCTCTGTTCTCTGTTTTTTTTTTTTTTTTAAAGACAGGGTTTCACCATGTCGGTCAGGCTCGTCTTGAACTCCTGACCTCAGGTGATCCACCCACCTTGGCCTCCAAAGTGCTTGGATTACAAGTGTGAGCCACCACGCCCGCCCCTCTCTAGCCTCAACTTAGCACCATAGCTCTGTTCTCATCTCCATACTTGTGCACAGCTCCCTGGATGGTATTCCCTCTTTTAACATGTGATGCTCTCCCCTTCCATTGCCTTAGAATCAAGGCTAAACCATTGTATTTAAGGCTGGCAACCAAGTTCCTCCATAATTTTGACCCAATCTACTGCTCCAAGCCTTTTTCTGTTTAACTCAGATCTTAACTTCATGTATTTTCTCATACTAGTCCAAGTTCTTGAAGGAGCTCCTGTCTGATTTGAAAGCGCAGTGTCTAGAAGAATCCCAAGTGGATAAAAAATACTCATCCTCTGTGTGATGAATTAGTGAGTGAGAAAAATGAATGAATTATTGAATGAATGAATGCTTCTGTTTTTTCCCTGCATCTCACTGCCAGCTCTGCCTCCTTTCCTGATTATGTCCTGGTACCAATCTAATTCACAGAAAGTTTCTCTCCAGTTCAATATAATTTTTTGGTTTCATTCATTCTGCTACTGCTATTGTTTGGTGACTGTTGCCCCTCAACAGTTTTTATTCCATTCTATGATGATACAAGACTCTGAGTTCTCAACTGATTATGTGTCTAAGCTCTTGAACCAATCCAAGCTATGCTTTTGAGGAAAGGCATGGCCCTACTTGGTCTCAGTTCTGTATGGAGATGGAAGTGCCCTCAATAAGCTGGCGAGGGAAGACTCTTATAAACAATTATATCTCAACTGGTCTCTAATGGTCAAGAGAATTGATAGATCCTGCATTCCAGGGATCACTAAAGATCTCAGATCTGAATTTTCTGCCAGGTAGCTATTAGAAAACGAACTGAAGTGAATTGATGGCACTGTCATTAAGATGATTTACACTCCCATATTCTAATTCCAGGGTCACCGAACAAGCCTCTAATTATAATGTGGATACTCATGTCTCAAGAAGTCTTATTGAGGATTGAATTTCTCATTGAATATTACTAACTTAGCATCCTGGTTATGAAGTTTAAAAAAAACTTGAGACCATTTATGTCACATTATACAAATGAGTCTACTTCTAAATGTTTTGTACATTGTAATCATATCTCTTGACAGAGTCATATCTGGATCAATTTAGAAATCATTCAAAAACCACGAGAAAAACTTGTAATATTGACTCCATTTAACAAAGAATATCAATTTTCTATGCAAAAGACACAAAAAGGAAGAGGAGATCCTAAAGAGAGAGTATTACAAACTGTTTACCTCTTGTGACTCAGCCCGCACAATTTGGTATCCGAGCAGCACTGTCAGGGCCAGTTTGATCCCCACTACTATTGCCTCCAGAGCTGCAGTTAAGCCATGACACCTCTGAAACTCTCCCCTGGTCCAACCCCACAGTGACCTGCAAGGAAAGTCTCTAGAACCAGAGGAGGCAGGTTTGGATGGCCAGCCAAAAAGACATGTTCCTATAAATTTCCTTCTTTTTTTTTTTTTTTTTTTTTTGTGGAACTGACTAGGAAGGTATTCATGAACATACACCGTTTTCCTGGTGGGTCAAGAAAAATCAAATGTACTTTTTTGAAACCATCTCCATAAATGTGCTCCTCTCTTTTATCTGGGATAGCACAACTGAACATTGACTTATTGAAGCAGTTAAGTACTGTGTGTCTTTTATTATTTTAAAAAATCAAACCTAGAGTCCAGTTCCCATTAAGGCTTCTTACAAGAAGTGTCTTACATTTCTGGTAAAATATCTGGCAAAGAGCCACTTGTCCATTATGCCCTTTTA